TCATAAATTCAAGACTGAAGCGAGAAGAGATACTGCTACACCTGTTTGGGATAAGAAATATCATTAGTCAGTTTTGACTCTTTGTATCACGCACTATCACGTGACAAGCTCTGCTAATTTGAATTATTTACATAGCAACGTCTCTAATCAATGTGAACTTCATGTTAGAGTCATGGATCAAGATATTATATCGGATGACTTGGTATGTAAACATCATTAATCAAGTAAGCATCCCTTGATTTTATGTACTAATTATCAAATCATATTTCTTTATTCAGATCGGAACAGGCACAGTAGATATCTCATCCATCTACAAAGATTATTACAAAGATATTTGGATTGATTTGCCCGACGTGGATGGCAAACACCGAGATGGCCAAATTCATTTAATTTTAGAATTCTTTCCTAACTAATAACATCCTCAATATTTCTACACCTTTTGTTTATTTATTAGGATGATTATAACATTTGTAACATTTGTTTTATAGTAAAAAAGGTTTAATAAATTTATTGAACTTCATATATGTTCAACTTTGTATATCTAACTTGTTAGTTCCATAAATGTGTAATTGATTATCCTCTCCACCACTTAAAATTATATCAATATCCCAATCAATACAAAATAATTTTTGGGCTGAAAAATTTGTTTCTTGTGAGTTTGAATTTTGTTGAATTGTATATAAAGGTGACTTGCTACGAATATCCCAAATCTTTACTGAACCATCATAAGACCCACTGGCAAGTATAAATTGCGATTTAGGTGACCAAGATACACATGATACCCAATTCTTGTGTGAAGAAAGCATCAATTTGACCACTGTCGTTTCTAGTAATACAATAAATCAAGGTTAAATCAAGGCGTTAATTGAAACAATAAATAATAATAACACGAATAATGCAATAATTTTTACCTTCTGCCCGTGGATCCCATATTCGGACTATTTTATCAGAATGTCCAGATGCAATTAAATTGTCTGAACAAGCAATGTCAAGAACAGTTTTGTCACAAATCTAATGATTACATGATAAAAAAAAAAAAATTAGAAATAGTTAAATATACGCATCGATTTGTAAACTGGACAAACCTTAGTATCAATATTGGTCCTTGTTTCAACGTCCCAAACTCGTACCGAATGATCCCAACCTCCACTATACATTTTGTTCGAATCTTTTTTGTCAAACTCCACGGATGATATTGGACCTACATGACCTTGCATCGTCGCAATTGGAGCCTAATTAATGAAATTATCCATGAATTATCCATGAATTATACATGAGTTAATTACAAATAAATAAATAAATAATTAATTAATTAATGACAATAATATTTATTATGTCATGCCTTTGCGACAATTTCTTTGTTTAATTTTCTTCTTTTTGGCTTTTTCTCGATTTCTTCATTTGTTTCCGGTTGAGTGGTAGTCCATAATAAAATCGAAGAATCCAAAGAAGCGCTCGCAAACTAGGAACATTATTAATTAAATCATTTTGAGCCACAATTAGATCGATTTGACATTTTAATGCCATTATGAAAAGATCAAGGTACTTTACCTCACCTCAGTGCAAGAAGAATTAACAGAAATACATTCTACGCTTTCCTTATGTCCTTTACAATCATACAATGGAGTATATTTTCCATCTGAAAGTGAGACCTATAATATAAAATATCGAAAGTTCTACTATATTTAGAGTGTTAAACATATAATAAAAAATATAAAAAAAAAATAATACAAAATTAAAAGAACAAACCTGCCAAGCTCGAATGGAACGATCCTGTGACGCAGATAAACAAATAGCATCATCATCTATACAAGTTTGAGAGAGGATTTAAAGATTAATAACTAGATAATTTACAGAATTTATATAATATTTTATATCTCTTATTTACCTGTGACAGAAACCCACGCTACACTTTTAATTGGTGCTATATGCCCAACCAAAGTCTGCAAGCATTCACCAGAAGGGTTGAATATACGAACGTGATTATCATACGAACCAGTCAAGAAAAGACTATTGGACAAAGTTTATCAAATAAAATCATAATTTATCGAATCAAATCATATATAAATATAAATATATATATATTATACAATTAAATATAACCTTTTATTATAACCTTTAACAGAACTTATCCAATCGTCATGTTGAAAGGTTGATAATGAAGTTGGAGGAAGCATCGACTCGACATATTCAATGGTAAGAATATTTTCCTTTAATATAAAGAAATTTAATATATTTATTCTTATTAATTATTTAATAATAAGTTGAAGCATACCGTTGATAATTCTTTTAACTGTAAATATTCTTCTAAGCTTGTTCTCAAAAACTCATTATCTAACATAAAATCGAAAGGGACTGGCCTCTCTAATTACAAATGTATATAATAAATTATTAGAAAAAAATTTTTTTTTTTAATTACAATGTTTCAATTTTTCAAATTTTCAACGGACCAAAACCTAGAAGGTGATTTATTATTTCTGATAGACCATAACGACGTAATTTTGTTGGAACAAGTATAGCAGAATCCGTAATAGCATATTCTTTTTGATGTGTAATGAAACGGACTTGAATTTCATTTTCTTCCTCTTCTTCAGTACTCATCTCTTCTACAGTACTCATCTAAAAAATCAAAAAATTAAAGATTGATCAAAAAAAAAAAAAAAAAAAAATTATTTTACTTTTTTCGCACTTTTATATGAAAATTGTATGATGATCATATCATGTGAAAATTTTTATTTTTGAATGAAAAATTTGATGAATATATTACATAAAGATAAAAATTACAATTTAAAAATTAAATTAAGGGGTATCAAAATATTTAATCTAAACTAAAATATAACAAATACTTTTTTCGTAATGACAAAAAAATTTACAATAACAATTTTATTCTTTATATTCTTTAAAAGGAATATTTTAAAGTTCAATCACTATTGCCATTGACGGCTAATCTTCTTTTTTGCGCAGCAACAAATGCAGCTCTCATTTTAAAGTAATCTTTGTGTAGACCACACTCAGATTTGGTTTTTCCTTCCCATCTTCCATCACGTTCATTAGATGAATCACTATTAATCGGTTTTGTGCTATGCCAGTCTCCAATTGAACGATAACCTTTGTCAAGTAATGGATTATATGGGACCTGACAAAACCAAAACCAAAATAGGTTAATAATTTGTCGATGACATAAGCAAGAGATTTTCAAAATTATTTTTATTCACCTCATTTGCACGAACATAAGCTTTTACTGTTGGGAAGTCCCATAAAGCTAGAGGGTTCAATTTTATTAAACCAGTTCCATTTTCTATTTCCAAGATTCTGATATTTTCACGTTCACCTTTTTGACTTCTACGACGACCGGTGATAATTGCTGAAACACCTAATTCTTTATAAGCTCTTCTTGATGGTTCAACTTTGACCAAATAATCATAGGAAGCATCATCAGTTTCCCATAATTTTTTGCCATAAAGTTGTTCGAAATCTTGAGCAGTTTCGCAATTTGGTGGTTTATAAACATGTAATGGGGCTCGATAATGAGAAGCTGCCCGATTAGCCAAGTCTAGAGTCTCATTAAAATGATGTAAAGTATCAACGAAGATAAGAGGAACTAAGTGTTGTGGTGTTGCCGCACATTCTTCAGCATATTCATAACTGATTTTAGAAATCATATCGAGGATAATGAGACCTATTTTTTTAAAAAAAGGTAAGAAATATAAGATTAAAATTTATTTTGAAAATTGAAAGAACAATGATGTTTGTAATTAAATTTAATATATGAATTTACCTGTGAGACCAAAGGCCGTTGTTTGATATAATCCGGGTAAAGAGACTATTGCCCACTCGAGAATTTTTTTTGGAGGAAGTTTAGACAATTTGTCATTAAGATGATTCAAATGGTTTTCGTTGAATAAGACTGGAAGCTTTTCTTCGAAATCGTAATCTAAATCATTGGGACCCATTGTGATTTTTTTTTCTAAATTTCTAAAGGTTTAAATTTTTGACGAATTTTAATTTTTTTTGGTTTTGTTTGTTTTTTTTTTTTCCACTTCGATGCGGCCATTATATATTAATCCAAACATCGATTCGCAATCTTCGCGTCATTTCCACAGCCGACCAATAAAAATCTCAGTAGATTGCGTCAATCTTCGAGGAAATTTTGTTAACTCGAGCATCGAAGACTTTCAATTAAATTAGACAAATTTGGACGTTTGGGTAACAGACCTTTACACTATACTGTATTATTAATCCTACATGGCGTAAACAATATCATAAACAAAACAAAAAAAAAAAAAAAAAAAAAAAATACGGATAATCTACTATATTTAGATATTTGCGCAAATTTCAACATAATAAAATATTTAATGGTTTATTATTTCTTCATATAATTTAATGGGATGAAACAATTATTAAAATGATTATTTTCTACACACTTTCAGACTAATTTTAATCTTCTAAAGCTTTCAATGTTCAACTAAAATCCAACCTAATCGGATGCAAGTTATAAATTAGAATCGGTTGATCAAAGCTGGTTTTCAGGTGTCGTTACATCACATTTCTTGATTAGTATGAAATTGATGAGAGATAGGATTAATTAATTTTTTTTGAAACCCGTTCTGCGTAAATCTATTTACCGTATAAAATATACACATTAGCGTTAGTGGTTCGTTCCACGTGAAGCTATTGTTAAAGTACGTACGTACTTTTGTATAAATACTCGCATATCAATCAATATATTATTAATATAAACTGGAACGTAATATTTAAATGATTCCTCTTAAAGATGCATATAAGTATCGGAAAAGAAAGCGTTTGTTAGAATGTTAAAATTGACGTGACGTGATTTTGTATTTGAATTTCCTTTTGAGTATCAAATCTAAAGTTATACCCTAATTATAATTATACGTAGCAATCGTATATCTTTTACGTAGTCACAAACCCAATTCCATACGTATATTTAGTATAAAATAAAATATAATACGTATATATACTACATACTATATACTTAATTTTATTTATATATTATTTATACGTATATACAGTATAACCGACATTTAACTTTAATTTACCATATTTCATACGGTTTTTTTCAAAATTGTTTATTTGAAGTGCATAAAATGTTTTAAAACCCGTTTTTTATAATGAAAAAAAACAAGATATACAGGCGAAATTTCGACAACAGCAGGATTTGAACCTGCGCGGGCAGTGCCCATCAGATTTCGAGTCTGACGCCTTAACCACTCGGCCATGTTGTCAATCTACTATAGTCGACTTATTTATGATATTAACATTCCATTTATAATATAAAAGATATAGAGATATACTGTAATAGTATTGTCATATACTGTATATATACTATATAATTAAGTTCTACCGTATATTAAAAACCGGGTTGACAACTTATTATATTTAGGTATATAATTAAATTATAATTATATTATTTCTATAATATATAGATTTTTAGTCAATGGCCAAATAATATTGGGTCTATTAAAAACATGTTAAATGCAATTCTAATTTAGACTAGTCAAATATCAGTTTTTAAAATTATAACAACCAACATTTTTTTAACTAATATATTTAAGTAGTTAATGAATAGTTTACTAAATAAATCTTGAATTGTTTATGCTAAAATAAATCTAGTTTTATAAATTATATACTGTATATCTATAATAAATTATTTAAAATTTAAAATATATAATAAATTAATACACTAAATATTTTATATAAGATATAGCTTACAAACAACAATTTTGTAAAAATATCAAAAAATTTACTATAATATTGTTTTCCATATTACATTTTTGCTCTAAAAAATATATACTGTATGATAAAAAATACATCACTTTAATAACAAAAGCTTTAATAAAATAAATACTATATATGCTTTATTTCAAAGACAATAATTATTATGAGATATTATTAATGTTTTTAACTATTTTTAGTCTTTTTAAATTAACAAATCATTTATCAGCACCAGTAAGAAGTTATATAATAAAAAATTAAATTTGTAATTTATTATAAAAATTTTCTTTTAATAATTCTAAGTTTGTCAAATTAATAATGATTTTCATATTTATTAAAAAAACTTTGTCTAATTAGTAAAAAACTATATTGCAATTTACTATAAAAACTTCTTGTTAATAACTTATAAATAATATTTTAATGTTATAACTATTAGAGTTCTACAATTTGATTTGATTTAGTTTAATTTGATTAAATATTTGATATTAAATTAAATTCAAATACAAAAATTTCAAATTAAATCAAATTCAAATTAACAAAATATTCAATTTGATTTGATAAATATTTGAATTATATATGCTAATAAAATTATTTTAGAATCTAAAACCTGAAATAAAATTTGAAGATAAAATTGGTTTTAAATTATTTTACCTAAAAGACAATTTTTTAACACTTTTTGAAGAAATGAAATTATAAGAAACATAACTACCTAAATTAGATTTGCTCTTGTATATAAAAAATTCTAATTTGCTCTAATAAAGACAAAATAAAAGTTTTTTAAAAACCTATTTTTGGTATATATAATTTGAATATTTGATTTGATTTTTATTGAAACTATAGATTCAATAGATATTTATGCAAAATTTTATTAAGATAACTACTATTTTCTCTCTAATTGACTAGGGGTATTTTAATACACAAAATCGATCAACTTAGTAAAATTTTGCATAAATTGAAAATTTTAAAAGTTTTAAAAATTATCAAATTTAATTTGATTTGATTTGATTCGATTCGATCAAATCAAATTCAAATCAAGGGTTTATTTGATTCGATCAAATTCAATATGCCTAATATTCGATTCGATCGACTTTGAGGAACCCTAATAGCTATCGCCAAAATGCAAATTTACACGTGCAAATTTAAATTAACATACAATTGGTAAGGCTATTGTAAAATAAAAATTTACTATTAACATCTTGATTATTGCCTTTAATTTTTTCTCGGGTACTTTCACATAGCTTATGTACAATATCTAACTAATAATACGTACTATAGTAATAAATACTTATTTGTTATCTAGGCGAAATCTTCGACCTTTTTCTGGTTCATTCGCATAGTAATTTATGAAAAGGAAGCATTACACTCTACTGTACAGTATAAATAAGTTACCCGGGCAATTGATTCACATCGCCAATCGGATCATGATTATATATCAGATATTCCAACATATCATTCATATCTTTCTAATTGGGCATGCAAAATAACACGCAACTGGGCGTTATTACGCGAAAATATGGTATATTTCGAGTCTCCAAGTACGTACGTTACGAGGAGTGTTCGTCGGAATAACCTTCTATGAATTTTATTTTGACAGTCCTTTATAAATAAATGCCACATGTTCATCGATAACAGCTGATTTTGAACTTTGAAAAGGAAAAGACATCAATTAATTTTATCGTTATGCTATACTCAATTCACCTCCATTGGGAATAGTGATGCCGTAGAATCGTCCCAATGAAGTTGAATGATAGTTGTCACATGCCGTAACTATAGTAAATAATAAGTAAAGTTACGGCTATAATGTCGTAACTTTACTATGTTACTTACTATAGTTACGGCAAGTTACAGCCATGTGACAACTATCATTCGACTTCATTGGGACGATTCTACGGCATCTCTAATTGGGAAACAATAAAAAAACATTATTGTTGTAAAAAGTCTTGCAATATAAGAGAAGGAATATATCGTACGTACTTATTTGGCAGGTAATAATACCCTTATGCCGTATAAATATAGCGTTATCAGCCTGAAAATTTCGCTATCCAGTCAGACTAAATTTAAAGATCATGATTAAAAATACACTCATAACACTAATGCTAATTAATACGTAGCAAAATTCTCTAACGGTACGAGAAGCCTAGAAAGCCTAGAATTTCATTAGAGATAATGATGAATCAGTATCAATTATTTCCTAAATTATTTCCTAAATTATTTCCTAAATTATTTCCTAAATTATTTCCTAAATTATTTCCTAAATTATTTCCTAAATTATTTCCTAAATTATTTCCTAAATTATTTCCTAAATTATTTCCTAAATTATTTCCTAAATTATTTCCTAAATTAGAGATTTCAATAAGTTCAACGAAAGAAGAATAACGTACGTACTTATTACACTATATATACCGTACTTTACTGAAACTTCCAAATTTGCCACTTTAATACTACTTGTAATTAGCTATGAAGTAACTATAAAGTAACTATATAGTTACTTTGTAGTAATTACACTTTACGTTTACTATAAGTTAGCAATACGCCTA